GCTGCTCTCCCTCGTCCTCCCCACCCCCTCTTTCCCTACTTTCTCCCCGTCCCCCGGGGCCTTTTCCTCCCCTTCCCCCAACCCTCCTCTTCCTCCCCCGTCCTCTCCCACCCGCCCACTTTTGCGGTTCGCGCTGCCCAGTTCCCGCCCGAGTAATGGGTTTTTTGTTCGGCGCCGGGTTTTGGCCGAGGCGTGCTTCCCGTGCGTCGCGGGGTTAGGTGGTGCCCCCTTGAGTCGTGCCCCGCAGTGGCCCAGCCGCCGGTTCCCCGGTGCGGATTTTGAACCCCGGCCACCTCCACCTGGCCACCTGCAGGGGTGCGGCCGCCGCCTTCCGGCGCATTCCCTGCGCTGCCCGCGCGCCCCACCCTGCCTCCGGCTTCGCGCCACGTTCTGGATGTTTCCCGGAGGGGTTGGTGCGGTGCTGCCTCCAGCGCCGCGCTCTTTGTTTTAATTGTCCGGGGAGGGGATCGGCACCCTGCGCGGGTTTCTGTTTGATTTGCATCCCTGTGGCTTGGCTTCCACTTGGAACCCAAAAGAAACGGAATTAATTAGGGCAATACAATTGCGCCCTGGCCCCAAATGAAAGGGGTGAGGTACAAACAGATTTAAAAAAAAAAAAAAAAAATGCAGGCACATCTCCAGCCTTGGGGACACAGATTGGGAATAGCTGCTGGCCAATCGGAGTTAAGCCTTCAGGTTGAGAGGCGCCAGGTGGCTAGACCCCGAAGTGGCAACCAGCCCCTGAAGCCCCAGGAACTGCTCCTGGGCTGTGCCAGGCACTTTCTCATCCCTCTGAAACAGTTAACCCACCTGAGAAAGTTTGTACAAGCTTCCCCTGGCACTGGTGGATTTGTGAGGATTGGAACTAATCCCAGATTGGGAGTCTGAGACGACAGTTCTTTCCTTGTGGAAGTGCCACCACCATTGGTCAAGTCACAGCAGAAGTCAGAGGCAAGATACAAGGCAGGGTGCGCTAGACCGGCTTGGAGATCCCTATGCCCCCGACATGCCCTCCTCTTTCAGGACAGGCCTGGCCACAGTGGTGTGCCTGCCCCCAGCCTGAGTCACCTCTTACTGGTTTTTTAAGGTCGTCTAACGGCAGTGACCCCAAATCAGGCCCCTGGCCCATTCACTTCTAGAGAAGCAGGGCTTTGCCCGGATAGTTTCTCTCATCCACCATCTGGCATCACCTAGAGGGTGTGATAAACCAAAGGCCTCAGCCTTAGAGTTTCCAATTCAGTCTTTCCTGAGGGAGGCTTGAAGCCCTGGGGGGATGGGGGATGTGTGTGTCTGTGTGTGTGTGCTGCTGACCCCAAAGCTGGGCTTGGAAATCCACCAAGAGGTGCCTCATAAGAAAGACCTGGCAAACTGCTTCCAAGAGGTTACAGCTCAGACCACCCCACTGAGCGCAGTTCTACTCTCAAGTACATGGGGCTACCATTGTGATGGGAACCTCATAGTAGTTAGTTTGGTTAGAGGGAGCTCTGATGGCCTGTTGGTCAAAGACTTGCACTGCCAAACCAAGGGTGAATGGTCTGAATCCACCAGCTGCCAGGAGGGAGAAAGGAGAGCCCTCTCATCCTATGCTAATCCTTTGAAAACCCACAGTAGTGTCAGCTAGGAGTCGGTTCCAACTCAACGGCCTTGCGTTGACTTGGTTTGATTTGAGGGCAAAACTGGCAAATTTGCCTAACAGGTTTCCCAAAGACCCTGGAAGGTGCAAAGGTCCCTTAGTCAAGGTTTGCATGCTCAGTTGCTAATCCAAAGGTTGAAGGTTTGGTTCCACCCAGAGGCACCTAAAAAGAAAAGCCTGGTTTCTAAAATGCTAGCCCACCCATGTCTCCGCTGACCCACACAAAGTCGCTGTGAGTCGGAGCTGTTTCCACATCAGCTGGTTAATGGTTATGGGGTCCCGAGTAGTGCTGGTACTGTCCATCAGAGACCCGCAGGCCCCAGAACACATGCCTCTCTCCTCCAGCTGTTCTTCTGCGTCCAAGCATTCTGAGGCTCTTTTGTTTGATCAATCTTCCCGCTACCTCTGTTCCACTTCCACAGAAACAAAGCACTTAAAACAGAATTCTCCTGTGTGATGTGGAAAGCCATTTACCATGTCACGTGTTCATGGAGACAAAAGACTTGGTGGCTTTGTCCTAGATAATGTTCATCGGCTTCCTGGCAGGTCAGAACAGACTTCTTTGTGATATATGTGGAAGCAACTGTTGGCCGGATCAGGAGAATGGGGCTTCGAGAGGCTCCACGGCGTTCTGCATTTCCCACCTATCTTTCTGGGCTTTTCTCTATAGTTTCTCGCCCTCATTATTACACAAAGACTCTCAGCTGGTCTGCAGGAATCCAGATGGTTCCCTTCAATTGTTTGTAATCAGAATTCATGGAATTGCAATTTTCAAAGTCGTGTGAGCTTACTGAAATAGACTTAATGTGGAGATACCCCAGAGGGGACTGGACTGTTTTACCTGATTGAACCAATTGTTTGTAGGAATCCTGGCTGGCATAAACGGTTTGCATATAACTTTGAATCCAAAAGTTGGCAGTTCAAACTCACCACCAATGCCATAGTAGAAAAGTCCAGGCAATGTGCTTCTGTAAAGATTGTTGTTGTTGTTGTTGTTGTTGTTTACCGTGGAGTTGTAACCAACATATAGCTGGCCCTCCGGCAGGTTTTCAGAGGCATTAGATCACATGGGAGGAGATTGCCCATCCTTCTCCCACAAAGCAGTTGGTGGCCTCAAACCACTTGCTTTCAGGATTGCACTGCAACTTCTTGCCACTAGGCCACCAGAAAGATTATAGGCAAGAAAATGCTATGAATTAGTTCTGCTCTATAACTCAGGAAGCCGTCATGTTGTTGTTGTCATAGGTGCCATCAAGTTTATTATGACTCATCTCGACCCTGTAACAGTGGATCTGAACCTTGCTCTATTCTGAACCTTCCTCATTATCTCTGATACACTTGAGCTTATTGTTACGGTCACTGTGTCAAACTATCTGATTGAGAATCTTCCTATATTTCTCCACCTTTCCAAGCATGATGTCCTTCCCCAAGGACTGGCCCGTCCTAAGAGCTTGCCCAAAGTATGTGAGACAAAGCTTCACCGTCCTTGCCTTCAAGAGTCACGATGTTGTGGTTGCTGTGGACCACAGGTTGGAACTGACCCATAGCTCACCCTACAGTGGGTTTTCAGAGGCAGTAAATTGCACAGAAGGAGATTGTCCATCCTTCCCCAATGGAGCAGCTGGTGGATTCAAATTGCTTGCCTTTGAGATTGCAGCACAGCTTCTTACCGTGATGAGTAGGAATTCATTCAAGGACACGGGTTGGGGTTTTTTTGTATGTTGATTGTCTAGTCACTCATGGGGACAATGAATTGTGGTGGTGGTTGTGGTAGTGGTGGACCATCGTGTGGGATCTGACAGATACCTGACCCTCCAGCAGGTTTTCACAGGCAGTTAATTTTACATCAGATTGCCCATCCTCGTGGAGCAGCTGGTGGATTCAAACCATGTGCCTTTGGGATTGCAGCACAGCTTCTTACCATTAAACCAGTCAACACCTTTGAATTATGTTGGTGAAGAATATTGAGTATCTAATGGACCACCAAATGAGTAAATTTGTCTTGAAGGAGACGCAACCAGGGTATTCCTTGTTTTTGTTGTTGTTGATTGCCTTCAAGTCGAGCATGACACATAGCGACCCTATGAAGAAAAGGCCTGAAGCCCCTCAACAATTATCGACATTTATCAAAGTTCATAGAGTTTCAGGAGGAATGTTATTTAGGAAGTGGATGCCACTCCTGCTTCCAAAGGATACTCCTTAGAGGTAAGAATCATAAAACCTCATCTCATGTACTTTGAACATGTTGTTAGAGGCACTGGTCTTTGGAAAAGGACATCATGCTGGAGAAAAGTAGAAAGCAACGAAGAGGAAGGCCTTAAATGAAATGGATGGGCAGAGTGACCATAGCAATGAGCTTGAGCTTGGTGGGAATCTTGAGGATGATGCAGGCTAGGTCAAGGTTAGGACCTGTAGTCAGCTTTGAGCCACTGTGAGTATTGGTTGACTAGAACACACCTAACAAGAATCATTCACTTATCCATCGTCCTTTTCATTCCTACTGTGTGTCAGGCCCAGCCCAGACCTCAAGGATCTAAAGGTATGCAGAACCACCCGTTTCCACATATGACACATTAATGTGCAAAAATGGACTAACTGAAAAAGGTGTTCTGGTCACTCTGTGACACGGGGTAGGGATTGCCAGATGGGCTACGCGAGTCATCCTTGGAGAGGGCCAGAGCAAAAGAAGGTCCAGATTTCTTTTCGCAGTGGAGTGTGATGCTTTGCTCTGTAAGACAGTATGAGGGTAACAGAGAGAGTTACCCTTTATGTCAATACTTTGAAGAAGATAATCTGATTTCAGTAGATGGCCC